GAARAAGTTTAAAGATGTTCTCTAGGTGAAGGAATGAGCAAGAAACAAGCTACAGAATAAATTTRAAATACAGTCTGCATGTAGGAGTTTCTCTTCTCCTGACATACAGCATTTCAGTTGCAGTCAGTGAAGTCATAGGTATGTGGGAAGACTGAAGAATCTCATGCCACAGCAGTGGTTCCCAAMTGATGAGCAAAGTAGCCACTGTCGCTTCACAGACTGAGGAGGTAATGCCAAGGAAGCTCAATGGAAAGGGAGGCAAAATGTGTCAAGAGAGAAGGAGGGGAAAAAAACCCAAACACAAAGCCTCAAATCAAACCATTCTGCTAAGCCATCCTGAAGGTGGCTGGTGTCTATGCAAAATGTGGGATCTTGTAAAGGTCAGGTGTTATKATCCAATGAAAATTTAGAGCGCAATGAATAAAATGAATTCGTTGTTGCAAAGCATCTAGACATTCTGGGAACTGAGCCAGGAGGAGCWGCAAATGATCAAACAAAAATAATGCTGAGAGTTCTTCTAGGAGAAAATGTGAATATTGCTGTCTTACAGCATCCTCATGGAGCTCAAACAGCGACAAACAAGATGCAGACCAATGGGTTATAAATGCACTGTAAAGATTTATTTGCTAAAGCTGGGAGATGGTGTGATCTGGTGGGAGGTACCYCCATTCTTTAAGGGAGTAAACCTTGTGTGCTGGTGTCACTTCTGCTTTAGCCTTGCTGTGGAGAAAGGGACCCTKCTTTTGAAGGTATTAGTGAAATAAAACATTGAGGTGCAGGGAACATCATCTTCTCTTTGCTGGCATCAGTCTGCAAAATCTTACTCTTCAAAGTGTCACTGACTCACTGAAATGTATTTTGCACACCCCCTCAACTTGGTCTTATAGCTCACATCAGTAGATTTCCCTGGTTTAGGTTGAATTATGGCTCTTTGTGCTGCTGGAGATTGTCAGTTTCAAGGAATTCGATCTTGTATCCAAAACCTCAACCTTTCTTCTTGCAAACCAAAACTCAGCCCATTGGGTCACATGATGAGTGAGGGGAAGATGCCAGCTGAAGGCACCTCTGCTGAGGCTGTGTCCTGTCAGGGAGGAGTGTCACCAAGTGATACAGCTCTAGCTGATCCCAAGTTGCTGGGCAGAAGGTCACAACATTTTACAGAGCTAACAGCAGAAGTCTGTAGGTGGATGAAGTTGTGGGCTCAGTTCTGTGCCACTGTTATGCAGCTCAGATTTGGAGTTTCTGGGATCGCCCACCCTAAGACTGAGATGTTGCTCCATCTATTTAAAAGAAATAGAGCCCAAGCCTCAGTGGGCAGAGTAAATAAGATGGTTGATTCATACWAGGATTTTCAGCTGCTTTGGGGATAATTGGACTTGAAAATACCTCTTTCATTTTGATGGGATTTTACAGTAATTGCTTGACTCATTAGTAACTTCAGTGCACCGTCCCACTGACCTTAACAAGGTATCACATCATTTGGAAGGAGGAATGATGCAGCAGAAAACCGCCTTCAACATCCTTTCCACAGACTGAAAAGTTTCTGTTAATACACTTTAAACCTCCTTTCCTTTCCTGAAGCTGCAGGTCTAGGTATCTGATTCCTCACCTAGCTGGTGTTGAAATGTTCAGGTACCACAGTAAAAAGGGCATATATTTACCAAAGATAACACAATTAATGCAAGGTTCTGWGAGACCTCGATTTTCAACACATGCCTTACACTCATTAATTTAATGTTAATTTGCATTTAGCAGCCCTAACGATTATATAGGTCAAGAAAACTAAAATATCTTTCTTCTCTGGGGTTTTCTTATCTCCTTAGAGTACGCTCGATTTGAGGCAAAAATCCATGACCTGCGTGAGCAGATGATGAATCACAGCATGAGTTCTGGRTCTGGCTCCCTGAGGACTAATCAGAAGAGGTCACTGTATGTCAGGTAAGCAGGAAGAGCCTTCTCCTGGGAATTTGTTGGCAGCTACCTTGTGCATGCCTGATGTGTGTTTTTGGTTTGGCAAGGTGAGAAAGAAGCTTGAGAAACTGTCTTGAAATGAGCTGAGAAATCCATCTTACAAGCACAGCATCATTAATGAGAAAATTGGATAAAAGCCCTATTTGACCATTTCAAGTAATTTGCAAAGAGCCTTATACTTTTATAGTGATTTGGGTTTGTGAGATGAAAACTTCTTAGCTCTGTCAGTATCTGAGATGGATATTGTGGAGTAATGACACAATGTGTTTCTGTGTGAGGTCTTACCAAGACATGGAATCAGTGTTCTCAGAAAGCGCATCTTTTTGCCAAAACCTTTTTCTTGCAAAACACGAACTCTTATATGCTATTCTAAATGCATGTCAGTCTCCTGCTATCCCCTTGCATGTGTTTACCCTCCTATCAGTCTGTGCTGCAAAGAATTTGCCATCTACCTAGCAAGATAAAATGTAAACAAGCTGTTGTCCATAGCTTAAGTGGGGTAGTGAATAGCAAAGGAATTACCTTTGTAATTTACAGTGAGCAGTGGTTGTATTTTCACTTTCTACAGGGTATTGCCAGTCTGGGTATCAGCCAATTGCCCCAGCAAAATTCTGGCTGTCACTCACACCTTTTGGGACTCATGGAGACTATGGGACTCTCTTAAATCTTTTAATAATCTTAATAATTTTGCTTCTCTCAGCTTTSATTTTCATTCTCCCCTTTGTCCCCTCCATCCTCCCCATGCTCAGCACATAATTTGAAATTCCTGACAATCATGAAGTAGAGGGAAGCAATTTGTCAGCCTCTAGGCAGTGATAATTATTCACAGGGGAGCTAATTCAGGTGATAACATTGCAGAGATCCAATTAAGGCTAAATTCTACATTTTGTCATTATGCTCTCAGCGTGAAGGAGTAAAGTAGCAGCGAAGGAAGGCAAAACTTAAATGTTAGCATGAAGTGTCTGATTCTAATGGGCAGCRACCACATGAAGCACTAATTGGTACTGCTGCCAGAAAGAGCAATGACTGAAGGGATTTGGATCACTCTTACCAGTGATGTTGCTGTTGGGCGAGGTCAGATTAGAAGTGCATCTCTAACCTTCTCTGACCTGAAGTAGTTTTCTTCCAAACCAAACAGACTTTGTTGCCAAGAGCTTTGGTCAGCTCCCTGAATTTGCATTTTATGAAAAGCTACAGTTGTGTGTGTAAGGATGGATAGATCCAAGCTTCCTCTCTCGAGGTAAGCAAGGAACCCAAAAATGCAGGGAGTAATGGTGCGAAAAGCAAATGGCAAGTGCAGGTTAATTGCGGGGTACACGTAAAGGGCTGACAGAGGGTCCTGAACACCTTAGTGCAGTTTGAACTGCAGCAGAGCTTGATCCTCCCTGTGTGAGCATCGACCTGCTGAGCTCTGCTGAGAACTGAGGCTTATTAACCTGYTCTCTGAGCCACGCTGAGATAGCTGTGCTGCATCTGGACTGGCCTGGTTCATCTGTACAGTAGTGCCCTGTGTGCACAGATGGGCCTGGTTTTCTGCTAGTTCATGAATTCTGGCTGTGGTCTGTCTCACTAAGCTGCTATGCCCTGGTGCTTCACTGCAGGAGGCTTTGATGTCTTAGCTGCTTATCTAAATAGCACTTCCCAAACCATAAATGCAAAACCTGTTCTTTTATTCCAGAGTCRTTCCAACAAATGCCCCAAGCCTCTGAAGCAGAAAACCACAAAAGCCTCAGTCACTTTTGTTGGCATTTGCTTTTTTCTCTCAAACCCACACAATTGGCTGTGTCCATATCTGAGCAGCCTGTTTGAGAGGCTCTGTATCACACATATTACCGTGACGTGTTTGTAGTGCAGGAACACCTGCAGCATGTGCCTGTCACTGTTAGTTCAACTCAYATGCTCTAATTGCAAAGGTAGTTTATGTCTGTATTAGGCACTAAGGAAAAATAAATGTGGGCTCAGAAACGTGCTTGTTTCCAGAGCTGAAAATTTTCTCTTTATGGATAAACTCTTTACAGGCAGGGCTCATGTAAAAAGCTAGAATCTAGCATTTGGTTTCTATTCTTACAACTCAGGACATTTCTGTTTCAATGGATTATTTTAGTCAGCATGTGTAAGAGAGCTAGARGCAAATGACCATATGTTGTTGTAAATCTCTAGCTGGAATGCCAAGTTTATGATTCAAGTTTACTGTTTTCCTTTCTTTGGGATRTAATGATTGTGCTGTCCTTCACTGAGTACAACAAGCACAGTTATTTTTTAGCCAGATAGCTGAATTGAAGCAAATCAAGCTATTCTAGGCAACACAACAAAATAAATTAAGATCCATATAGGTTGTAGAATTGAAAATAAGTGTCATTATCTGCTCATAAAAAGCCAACAAAAGAGGGTGAGAAGTAAAGCTACAGTTATACCAGTGGATGTGGGGTTTGTTGGATGCAGGGTTTTCTTCTTTACCTTACAGTTTGTGTTTTCCCCATCTAGCCCCTACTAAAATAKCATAGCATTAAGTGAGGCAAAATGTAATATGGGGTTAAAGGGTTGAATGTAGGACTAGAAGTAGGTGGCTCAAAGCAATCAGAAGTCCTGTTTACAACACAGGAAAGAGATGAAGAATTACTCATTCAGAAAAAKTGTGTAGCTCTTTGACATTATCTTTTATTTCTATGTACTCAAGTGTTTCAGAGTTGGGTTTTTTTTCTGTCTTTACCCCAGTCTATCTTTCTGACTCCTCCTGGCATATTTCCCATGAATTTCCTGAATTACTCTTTTCAGTACTACCTGTTACTTTTGTATCACACACCCTGTACCTCTGTTTGGTCTGTCATCAGAGTCCGCAACACTAAAGGCAAAGAATGAGACTCCAGGGAAGGGTGGGGCAGTAGGAAGTGTTTTTAATCCTTTTGGGGACCCACAACCTCTTTGTCACTAAATTTCTTGAGGAAAAGAAATACAGAAAAAAATGCAGAAAGTGAGAGAATTGATAGTARCATAGAAAATGTTATTATTCATGCTTTATTTGGTGGTGAAGGTGAATGAACTAAAATTGAATTCACTAACTCAAATGATAGGCTAAAGAAAATCTGCTGTTGTAATTTTTAAGTCATTGGAATTCAGTCATCRGCTCATGACCAAGGAGGAGAGTAAACAAACCCATCACCAGTTAAACATTGTGCTATCTACATGCAGAGCAGGATCTTAYGCAAATTCATGTCTTCCTTTTTGCCTTTTTTGTCTCATGGTTTTAAAATCTGTTCTTGTAAAATTATAGACTTGTTTGTTTTGAAATAAATACATGCTCTGCTTTGTCCTCCCAGGCCCACAGCAATAGTCAAATTTTTCAGGCTACGTATGGTTACTATTGCTACTCTCAGGAAATGCTGTGTTATTTAAGGCACAGGCAATGGAACACGACAGGCTTTTGAAGAGTTAAGCATCGGAGAAGCACAGTGCTTTAAAAAGTTTTGTGAAYTGAAGCAGCCACTTAAACTTTAATTCCCAATCTTTGGATGAAACTGAGAGCTTAAGTGGTTTTCCTGTTGTTTTACTAGATTATTCCTGAGCTTTAAGTACTTGTRCTAGATTTCTGTGGATAAGAGTAGATGCTTCAGTAATTGCTACTAGACACGGAAAGAAAAGGTTTTCAGGAATTGTCTGGCATCCAAAACTGCTGTCTTGGAGTCTGGTTTTGGTTTACAGATGAAAAGTAGTTAGATACACTTAGAATAAACAGTCACTGCACCGTTTAAGCTTCATTCAAACCGGACAGCTTCCGAAATAATTTAAATAATTTAAAATTCCAGTTGTCTAAAGCCACAACCAGGCACCATGGAGGTGTATCATTCTGCACAAATAACTTAAAACCTTTACATCCCCGTAGCCCTTTCACTGCCACTTCTCTGGTTAAAATTTGTTCAGTACTGTCAGTGGCCAAACATGATTTCAAGTGCTAAGCTTTTCATAGCTTTGATAGATACATGCCATATAAACACATAGTAATTTGTGTAAAAAATGTATATGTTGTGGTTCATTCTTTATTAAGCCATGAGGAARAATCTGGAGATTTGCCATCACAACTTAGCACCAGCAAAAAGGAAGCAAAAGCTGAGGTGCTTTGCATGGTTCGCTCTGATTCCCAGCACAATGGATTCTCCATRAGGTATTAGACACCTTTTTACAAAGTTACTGATTTAGAAATCAGCATGTTTCCATATCAYAGATTTATATAATCRTAGATKGTTTGGGTTAGAAGAGACCTTAAAGATCRTCTAGTTTCAAACCCCTGYCACAGGCAGGGACAACTTCCACCAGAGAGACTTTGATTTTCAACAGATCACAGAAATTCTCAGTTTTGAATTTTTCAGAGCTACAGTTGAAATTTGGTTGAGGCGGTTTGTGAAGACTGAATTTTCTGATATCSAGGGCTGGCTTTATGCAATGTCTTTAACAACCATGGTTCAGTCTCCCTGTCTTCTTTGAGGCAGTGAAACCCCACAGGCCAGGGAACATCAGGTCAAGGCTCCATGGGCAAAATTCTCCTGAGAAGCTGCACAGCCAGTTGCAGTGCAATCTGAAATCTGCTTGAGAAATGCAATTCTTGGAGACATCATGGCAGTGAAACCTGAACAGATGACAACATCAGACTGRGTGATGGAAAGCTCTGCTTTGTAGGTCTGGAAGGAGAAATGCAGTGAAGATACAATTGCACCAGAGGTTTTCAGAAGGAGGTACTGGGGAAAGCAGAGAGAAGTGTGAATTAGTCATAATTAAATACTCATTACAAGGAGAGAGAATATTTTTTTGAGAGATGTATGTGTGTGYKTATATATATAAAGAAAATCCAAACAGACACATTAGTGTTAATTATATGTTATATCTACATACACATTGCAAAAATATTCACTTAAGCTAGTTTCCTGCTATCTCTCTTGAGTCAGTGGAGTGCACTTGGCACTTTTAGAGTACAA